AATTATTTGTTTCATAGAATTATTTTAATTTCGTAATTTATTATTATCTATTTCAAATATTTTACCGATTAATTAAAACAAAAAAAAATTGTATTTCATTCACTATGTGAAAACTTTTTAAGCTTAATTTTTATTCACGTTATGTACTTCTTATACACACATACATTAGTTTCTATTGTAAATTTTAGTACTGGTTTCACAGAACAAAAAAAGTTGTATTTGACAAAACTTTTACATCTTAATCAGACATATTATGTGTCAAAAAATTGAAGAATTTATCTTTTAAGTTTACTTAAATTTCATTGTTAAACCGTGAGATTTGTCTGTGATAAAAATTTGTATTTGGACAATAAATTTGTATGAATGTCTACATGTGAACGTACGAAGAATTTTTTAAAGACTAGATGTATGACGCGCAACTTTTACTTCAACAATATTTTTTATAACCAAAGCTACGCTTATACGTTAATATTATCTTCTTTTACGATATTTATTGTTTGTTCTGCATGTACAATTAAGAATGGAGATTACAGCCAGTAAGTTTCTTTTCTATCATACAATTTACGTGGTAAGCGTGGCCGCAGCTAAATATTGCGATCCCATTGTTACCTAACAGAACTGGCGTTTGAAGGGTCAAGGTGCAACAGGGACATGTAGATAATTTATTCTGATAATGTATTCCCCAATGATGAGGTCCGTTTCCAAAGATATTTCTATTAATTGGCTTATTTAAATCTTTTTCAAGAACTTCTACCAATTGATCTCTAATCTGTAAAAAAAAAAAAAAAAAAAAAAAAACAGTATTTATACAATTTTTTTTTCTCCATAAAATTATTTAAAATGTTAAATACCTTTGTCGAACACATTGTGTTATGTTCGGATGACTCTAGATTACTACTATTAAAGTTAATAGCACACTTCATTCCATGTTGATATAAAAGTTTTGTAAATATCAATGACTGAAATATACTGCAACAAATTAAGATCAATGTAAATATGTATATGTATTTAATATTTATTACCTGATTCCAGATTAAGCATCGTGTAAGATAAAACTCACTTTCTATCGATTGGAACATTCGGGAGAGCTTTCTCCAACTTGACTAAGTATGTCATGGCAATGTCAGGTCCCTCTTTCTTTACAATTTCATATATCACAGCAGTCCAATTTAGCAATGCTTCATTGTTTCCCCTTTTCATAGACTTTTCACAAAACAGACATTGTTCATCTTGTATTTCTTTCGCATATGTTGCTACAAAATTCCAGTTTTGTCTATCTAATGAAGGTAACAGAATGGAAAGCACAACGTCATCTCTAATTTGAAGGCATTGACGTACTATCTCGTTCGTCACTTCGCGACGCTGTTCTGTGTACAGTGGCAAATATTCTCGCCACATGTAAGGTACTTTGTTACATAAATTTATGTACTGTTCCAAATCTTCATCTATAATCTTTACAGGTACACCTTCCGTAGCTTTGTGCATTTATATTAATGAAAGCTTTCATTATTTGTTTTATGATATTCTCGTTATCCGTTGACTGTATCAATTGCATCGAAATATTTTCAAGTAGGGCATTAAAATAATATAATTCTACGCTTCTCAATACTTCATACATGAAACTAGTTAACTCGGTTAATGTTTCGTACGAATCTTTGATAACATCCATTTTCCAATCTACATCTAAAATTATTTTTTCTAATTCATCTTCATCCATCGAAGGCCTAATATTATCAACTAACGCATATATAACTTCCAAATCTGCTTGTATTCTTTGTGTTATTGTCTTGCTTGAATTCACTTCTTCTTTCGTCTCTGACACTTCTGCATGCTTACTTTCATATGTTTCTTCTGTAGTGTTGCAATTCGTATCTTTACTTTTTCTCATTTTATTCATGGAATCAGTCACTAAATTACTTTCTCTTTTACTCTCTATTTTTAATTCAGTTTCACTAAGACTTTCCTTGTTTTGCAAAGAACAATGAGGCACGGAGTTACGCCTAAAATGTTCCTCGTTTTTAAGATCTGAATTTCCATCATTTACAACTACAATACCGGATTCCAATTTTTTTGGAACTATCTTAGTATTAGATTCCAGCAGAATTACTAGAGGATGTAATAATGTTGGCAATTCATCATCTCTAACTAGTGGTAATTTGTTTTCTATATCACAAATATTGTTAATCTCAGTATTGTTTACTAATTTTTTTAGTTGTACTTTGTACAGGAGACATATCTCTAAACATTCATTATATTTCTTCTTATTGTATAATCGTAATATTAGAGAATCTAAAAAAGACAGAGACAAACAATGGAATTCTCCATCAGAGGTCATTAAATATATTTTGTTCTCTATAGTCTCTGCCAAGTTTATGTTTGAGAATTCGTTATTCCATAATACCACAGTTGCGATAGCAGGATCGATTATATACAGACCCGTGGAAGTATATGAAAATAAATATTTTTCTGCAACAACAAATAAATGAGAAAAGTTAATAGACTGGGGCTGCCATGTTTGTTCTGTCTGCTTATGATAAATAGATTTTCTATCGTTTGGTCTACATATTGCTACAGGTGGCATAGCTAGTGCTTCTTTGAATTGGTGAGTTTTTATCACTATTCCATTTGCAGACACCTCCCAAAGTCTAGAACCCGGTCGAGCACAGAAGATTTGAGGAAAATTCTCTTCTTGTACTTTACTGTTACCCTCTGGAATGAAATTAAAAGAACCTTGTCTACTGACTAACTTTTCTTCCTTCTGGGTAACCAAGGTATACTTATTTTCCGTAAGATTCGTTTTATAAAAACAAGCACCAAATTCTCCATTCCGCGCTTTATTTCCTATTTGTTTATATTGTTCTTGTACTGTATCACATATATAACAACGAGTTAGTGTTGAAACTAACAATAAAGGTGAGGAAAAGCAAAGTTGCACAATGGCTGAATCTAAATTCATTAATGTACTTGCTGGTGCTTGAAACATGCTATTAACCTGAAAAATTCAATTTTTTAATTTTTACATGTCCATAGAAAATGCAAAGTATAACAAAAATCTATTCTAGAAGTGTTTCAAACATTAAGATAATATCTTACCGTAAAAATAGACAACACCATAACAGAAATTATGCCATTATCATCTCCAATATATATTTCAGAACTATTATCATTCCAACAAAGACAGTTAATTTGTTCATGAATATGTTCTGTTGATGTGGCTATTAATTTTGGTGTTGGTTTTAAAGCTACCAAACAAACAGCTCCACGAGTTGTTGTCAGGGCAATTGTTTTCTCATCAGGTGATATGAGAACACGAGAGACTGCCCCTTGCTATTATTGGAAAGGTAATTAAAATTTTTTCTAAATGATTTTTCCATTAATTTAATATGAATTAATTAATCTCTTATTGTAGTACATTAAGAAAAATTTTTGTACCGATAAGGGTATTAACTGTATGAAGGAGCATGGTTTCCTTGAGAACAGATAAATGCTGCCACTGGTTGAACCCAACACAATATAGTTGACAGATGTATTGAAACATGTATACTGTAAAAGAATAATGAAACAACTGTTAATTAAGTTCTTTGCACATTATTATTTATCAGAATAATATTTACTACAGTTAAAATTCAACATAATATTAAAAAAAGATGCAAATAAATATTTTTACTTTTCGTTAGTAGACAATGCTTGAATTCAAATATTGTGAAATGATTATAATACATTACAAATGAGTATTTACTGTGATAACTTTTTATTGTATTTAAAATATGATGCACAATATATACACTAAATTTCACTACAAATAATTTAACCCAGTATACTTGATCCTGAAATAAAATTTAATCCTTTTAAATAGATATTTTATGACATTCAAAATTTATCATACACGAACGGATTGGAGCGATTTCAAATAGTAATTCAGTATAATACCACGAACATTATAAAACAATAATTAAATAGGTGTATGTGAGATGACAGAAGCTTAATCAATAAAAACATTATAAATATTCTGATAAGAAATAACGTGTCATACAATGTGTTATTGTTGTATAAGAATCATTTTCTGGTTTTAGAGAAATACCTTGATACGTTGAGTCGAATTTATAGGCTTATAAAGGAGAGGATTTATTTCCTCATACTCTGACAGCACGTAAGGGAATTCCTGCATAGTCTGTGAAAATCTTGTGCGTAATTCGACAAGCCGCAATAGCGATTACTCACAGATGACACTTGAATCGTGGTAAAATGCGATGAATTTTGACATATACACACGGCTCATCGTATTCAACACACCAGATATATTTATTGGAGCATCGAACGTTTTTACATAGAGGGACTTCTTAACTGAAATACCTGCGTCAAACAGCGGTTCTCAATCTACCGTTTTCATAATTGACCTACTCCATTTCTTTTCAATTTCATCGATTTTATAAACATTTTTATACTACATACTCTTTTACATTTGATAAAAAATACTAAAATATTAGAACTACGGTTTTTCGAAAAAGGTAGTACCCTAGTTTTTGCATAAAGAAGAAATTATATTTTAAGTTTATTAAAAAAATAATTGGGTAGTAAAACAAAATGGTCATTCGAAGAATTACTGCGTACCAGAAAATAAGATTACATTGTTCACTTAACTGAAATGTTCGTATGTATACAACAAGAATTCAGTGTTGGTAAATTAAATTTACCATTTCTTTTACAAAATCGTATAGAAGTCGATTGTTTTTATTTAGAAAGATGTTTTCTTTTTTAATACCGTACGAATGAGTTTCGTTTATCATAAGTCACAATGTTTACTAAATGCATTATCTTCTTTTCGTGTCGTCAATAATGTTTTTGAATAAATTGTTCGTTTTTTTCGTTGAAGTGATGATTAATTCCTGATTTTTGTGAAAATTGAGAAAGATGCTTCACTATGTTTTTAATATTAGAAGGTTTCACGAGATCTTCTACGCTTTCATCCATCACGAAGAATTTGCGATTCTCTTGTTTCTTTGCGAATGTTTCCAAATGTTGTTCGTTTCGTTTTCCACCGTAAATAGGTCTAATTGTCGCCTTACGATCTAAGTTCTGCAAATTTTATTCAGGTACCAATAACAGTATTATTATTGCACTAAGATGAATACTTTTATCGACGATTCTAACTCTTAAGGTTATTTTTCTGTACTTTATAAAATTATCTATATTCTTTATGGGAAGAAAAGATATAAAAAATTTTGTTACTATTGCAAGAAAATATTGATGATTTTAAAATATCGAACAAACGTTATCTGAGGGTTAAAAAATATGGAATCGAATTATTTATATTTGGACAAAAAGCACAACACTTTGTATAATTAAAGGAGAAATGTTTAATTGTTATACCTGTGTGGAATTTTTTTCAAAATCTTGAATAACAACAGTTGGAAAGGAAGAAGCTTTCGTCAATTTTTTATTATTTTTGAAACTAAACGATTCTAACTCTTCGAGTAAGTGGTCACATGACATAAAACATCGGGGTCTCTCCTTTCTCTCTGATTTTTTCCACTTTATCATAGATCCAAAGAAATCTTTGAAGGATTTATTTCTTTTGAGTTTCTTTTTCGAAGTACTATTAAATATCCTCATTTTTGACTTTTCGTCTCCTCTCGTATTCGTAAATATTGTTTCTAATGTATTTTTTTTACCATTATCATTTTTCTTCAAGAAATAAGAATCGACGATGTCTGTTCGATTTTCAAGTTCGACTCGAGATTGACTAGGGTCGAAGCAAGAAGAATCGAGAAATTTCTTCCTTTCGTTGTTTCCATTAATGACAAAGTTTCTTTGTAAATCAGATTCTATACAACTTCTTGTGTAATACTTTTTATTTTGTTTATTTATTTTTAAATTATTTTCTTCTAAATTTTCAAATTTTAATTCTTTCGAATTATTATTTTCCGTTGAAAATTGCTCGTTTCTTTCGATATTTGGAAATACAAGAACTTTATTTTTAACAAATGTATCAGATTTGAAATTTTGATTTTTTTTATCATTTGATAAAGATACTTTATCTGTTTCTATGCGTACGGATGAAGTTTCTTTCTCGATTTTTCTTGTTCCTTCAGAGAATTGGTGTTTTCTGTTGAAAGAATAATCAGCGTTCGGATTAGAGTAATCGTTTGTTTTATAATATTTCGTAAAAAATTCGTCATCTGCTTTGCAAGCTTCGTTCTTCTTTTCCAAAGAAGCAATTAATTTCTTCACGAAGTTTTGTGATTTTTGCGTCAATTGTTGCTTCTTTCCTTTACAAATCGAATCGTTTGTAAAAAATTTTCTCTCTTGTTTTAAATCCTCAAAAGTGTAAGTTCTGTATTGGTTATTAACGAGTATAGAATTTTCTCGCAATGTTTCTTCGTTTTTCACGTTTTCGTCCAGAATGTCCGACGTCGATTTCGAACGATTACTTCTTAACCTTAGCGCCATCTCTCTCTTAAACTTTTAATCTTTAAGTATGAGTTAATAAAAAGTATTATATAATTTGATAGATTTCAGTTACTTCTTTCAGAATTTCCACGTTTATGTCGACACTTGGGACTGTAATGACGGTGTTAGTAAGTTGTCGTTTGTTATTCTGTCAACTGATATACATACAGTAGAGGTCAAGCACCGGTGAGTACTTCGAAATACACGTCAGTGTGTACTTCATTTGAGATGGATTAATTTTTTCCATTTCTTCTTATGGTACCCTCAATCTTTCATGGTGTTCTGTGTGATATTATACAGGGTGTCTCAATAATCAGTTTGTCCGTTAACCTCAATGTTTGTTTTTGAATTATAAAATGTCGAATCTTACAATTTATATTTTCATGTCTACCATTCAGTTGGCCAAATAATAAATTGATTTTTTACAAATATTTTCCTTTTCTTTTTTTTTTAGCCTTACGTGAATTCACCTGTTTTAATACACTTGTATTATTAGGACCAAGGACAGAGGAACTAAATTTTGCAATTAATTATTCATACAAATTCACGTGTCGTTGTACGCGAGCTCCATAAAAAATAGTCAATTGTCTAGAATTTCAAGTGTTAATTAACAATTCGACGTATGTGTCCATTAACAATAGTTTGCGATCGTTCGATTGTTGCAAATGCAAAATTGCTTGTCACGTTAGTTGTATTTAAAAAAAATTAGCAAATTTTATGAATATAATTAAAATATAAGATGTAAAAGAAATATTTGTTACTTATATGAAGTAAAAGAAAAAAACATCAATTTTGGCTCATATTCAACGTCTTTTTTTATTTATTCACTGTTTCAACTGTCTTTTATTTGTACAAGAATATAAATTATTTCCCTCGTTACAATATTCATTAGCTAGTCTCTGGCCGTGACTATTTATCTCTAAATAGCATTCAGAAAACATTGCTTACTGTCTAGGCATTTGTTTGAATCGCCAGAGGAACATTAACCATCAAAAACATGCATGAATTGTACACATAGTGAACAATACCATGTTTTCTCGAACACGTACGTATATTCTTACTCTATTAAAGCAATTAATTTCCATTCTAACCTCCTTCATACTTCAAACACGAATCATTCACATACCATCATTTTATTCTAGTCAGAAAAAAAATTATAAAATACCTATACATGATAATAATATATCGATTGCTGGATTATCATTTTTAATTTTTCGAATTTCTTCTGAACATAGAGTAGAATTAATGTACAATAATAGTTGGAAACTATATTACGAAAAATTTCGAGTTCAGAAATATACCTACATTTTTCTTGCAAAAGAACTCGAAGAAACTTAATAATTTAATAGTATAATTTATAGTACTATTTTCCGTACATAAATTTGTATTACAAATTATTGTTCAAACGAGACACTCGTTTGATATACGACAATTCTTTTGACAACTCGTTTGATAGAATTCTTTTTGCAAACAGAGGCAGTACAGTTCGAAATAGATATAACAGGGCTTGATTAGTTAAAAGTACAATAATTAAAACAATTAAGCTATTTACCTAAGAGGTTCGAGAGGAAAGTTTCAAATTTTGCGGGCAAATACAAAGACGTGCCTAAGATATTTGTACTCGAACCAATTATCACGAGCGAATCTATATAGTATCACAAAGTATCATCGCATTAAATCGTAATCTACAATCGCAATGAACATAATAGATTCGAAAGACCAAAGAGCTAAGAATTTGAAAATCATTTCCCGCCAATTGGTCGTACGTAAAAAAGTAAAAAAATATTGAATATTCTATATTTTGCTTCGATCATTCCAATCGTTACAATATTCAATAACCTTTAATATCGTATTTACAAAATATTCAAAAGAAATAGTACTTCTGTTACTTAACGAACAACAGCGCCACATCGGAAGTATCGAAGCACATTCGAATATCCGCCATCTTACAAATATCCGAAATTTTTTGCTACATCAAATCATATTGCTAAATAGTTCACAAACTCCTCACTTTCAATATTAGATCATAAAAAACAGTGATTTTATATTTTTCCTTGCCATTAAAACACATAGGTTTGTCCAATAATTGACTTCCTCCTAGAGGACCTCTTCATCCTTGCAGCTACAATTTCTGATCCAGAATCGTTCTGCGTATCTTCAGACCAGGTACTGTCCACTATTGAAGATCCAGAACTGACTCCAGATTTTTCGGATTTATCAGAATATCCTGAATCAATTACTGTAGTTTCATCAATCCTGAACAGTTTCCTTGCTAAACCAGTGTTTCTCTGAAAAGTGGCTCCCCAAGCTGCCTTTGGTGAATTGTCCACTTCATATTCGCTTCTAATTGGACTTACGCATGGAGATTGGCCATTGCTGGACAATCTGGACATCATGCTTAAGAGGGAACTGGTTCTTGGCAGTTTGCACCTGGATACTGGTATCCAGTAAACAGAATCATCATCCTGGAGAGTTTTTTGGTCAGCTTTCAACACCTGTTTAATCTCCAAGGTATCATCATTGAATGTGTTGTCCTCATCACTTCTTAGATTGGGAGATATCTGCTCAGAATCAGTGCTGCTATCTGTGTCCTTTAGGGAGGCTGATGTTGTGCAGGATTTAATCTCAGATTCGCTGGAACTGTCCTCTTCATTCATAAAAGTCTTCCTGGTTAATGTTAAATCTTCAATTCCTGAAGAGTCACCCTTCTCTAATGCATTTACCACTTTTTTCACAAAGTTCTGGTTAATTTTCATAGACTCACTCTGCTGAGACAGGCAAGATTTGCTCAGTTTTGCTGTCAGAGTTTCTATGAGTCCTTGAATGACACTTTTTTCCTTAGGAGGCTGCTTACTCCTCACTACATTCTCCAAATCAGTGGATTTTCTCTTAGAATTCAGGAATCTGGTGTATGGAGATAGTGACTTCTGGTTCATCTGCTTTTGTTGCAGAAGAAAAGGAGGACACATAGACTCAAATTGAAATTTCCTTTCTTGAATCGTGGTAACTAAATTATTAGGTTCAACATTTATCTTCTTAATATCTTGGACACTGATTCTATTCTTTTTTGGTGTATTCAAAGGGTTTTTTGAAACTTCTATCCTCTTCACAATGTCACGGACCACAGAGGAAGACTTTAGTGGGGAAAGAGCTGTATCATCTTTTTCAAATAATAGAGGCTCAATTAATCTGATGTTCCTTTCCAGCAGCCAGTTCGTTTTGTTTATCTTTGCTGGCGTTTCGTCACAGCTCTGGCAAGATTGATCCATCCTAGAGCTGTTTTCAAAGATGAAAGTCTTCTCCAGGAGATTCTGAGAAATTTTTCGTTGCTTTGGTGCACTTTCTGACTTGTCCATGAAGCTGTCAGACAGATTCGACTTTGAACTGCTTTCGAAGATGAAAGACTTCTCCAGAATGCTCTCAGAAGGGATCTTCTTTATTTTTGGAGATTCCTCTATGATGGTAGATGAGAAGAAATTAGCTGGAGAGAATTTTGGTGTAGATGCTGCCCTCATTTTAAAGTTAGCCTTCAGGTTTGGTGTTCGTAATGGAGTTGTCACAATATCTGAAATCTCGAGGTTGTCATTCCTCTTCTTTGAAGTTGCATTATTCTTGCTGGAATTGTTGTTAATCTTCTTATCAGTGTCAGTGGGTTTCTTCTTTAAAACAAATGTGTTGTATTTGGAATCTTCAGTATTTTTGTAATTGTTCAAGTCAAGTTTTGGTCCTGGTGGGAAGACCAGGTTTATATTCTGGATCTTTCTGGATGGTGAGACTTTAGGAAACGTTTTACTGATGTTCGTTGACAGCTTCACACGAGGGATCGTCGTGTCGAAGGCTTCTTTCTTGGTTGAAGACTTTGATGGTGACCTTTTGTGCCTAGTTTCTGGAGACTTCTGCAGGCGAGAAGATTTGTCGACAGTTGTCGTCGTTTCTGCAATGTTGTTGTTCTTTCGTTCTATTTTTGGAATTGTTATTGAATTATTTATATTGTTAATAAAATATTTTATGAAACAATAATTCGATATATTTTTTAAATATTTGAAATTTATCGATGATTCGAATTTTTTAAATTAATGTTTTATCAATAATAGTTTTGAATAATTACCTGACAGATTAGAAGTTGAATTTAATGTGTAGTCATATCTAGAAACACTTTTCCACGATGGCGGTCGAGACTCGAACGGCTGGACGTTTAATATTTTTGGTGGATTCGAACGTTTGTTCAAGTACCATTCTGGTATGGAAAGCTTCTGAAGAGATTTACATTTTTGTCATTTTACTCGATCTCTTGAAACGTCATTCATTGAATGTTACAATTATACCGATTAACACTTAATTAACATTAAAAATTAAACGTTATTTCTAATTTAAAAATATTAATAACTAACTATCTAAGAAAAGAATTGAAAATTGAACATATTTCTGTATCGTTGAAAATAAGGACTCTTAAAAGTTTCGCTTTACAGAAATAGAGTACGATATTACTAACTGTACTAAGTGTTTCGTACATACATTTCTTCTGCACACATTTCGATAATACAACTTCCTAAGCTGTTAATTAGTCGAGCAAATATAATAGCGTTAGCAAACTAGCGTGACTTTGCATTGATTATGTCATTGAAAAAAGTACGTGTTCCATATTACTCAAGATCAAAATACTAAATGTACACTACCTTGCTAAAAATATTCACTAATACCACCGTTATTATGTTTATTACCAATTTCTGAACCGAATTTATACTTTCGTAGCACTTCTCTAATCAAATACCAAATATTTTTTACACTCGTAATTGAAAAAAAAAAGAAAATCTTCACTCGTAACATTTTTAAAATAATTAATAATGACTTACGTATTGGTCACATGTGAGCAGCATATTATTCCTAATCCACGTCGCTGATATAGCCATGTTCAATTTAAAAAATCACCAACAAACCACACGAATTAACAAACGGAAAAAAAAAGAATTGAATATTTCGAACGCGTTAAATTTTATAATTCGTCGAATCTTAAACGGACGATTCTCCTGGAACGCGTGTTTGTAAACAGTTTCGTCACAGTGTTGCCGTCATTTCTGTGTGTTAAGTGAACTATGACTCGCTCTAGCATCGGTACAGACACAAAACGTAAACTTCGACGAATTCTCTGTCGCAAATGACTTGTCAACCCCTGTGAATCTCTTAATATATTCTTGGTTATCCCTACTCCTAGGGTAGGATATACGAAATAAATAGCAAACAGGGGATTCCTGAGTGTATAAAAGGGGTTTTATTGCTTTTTCGGTCGAGAGGTTGGATTGTTACACGGGTTGGATTACCGGCGAATTTTCGCGGCCACTTTACCTGGATTTATTGGAGGCCGTGGAAACCCTAATGAGGATTGGCACGTTTAATATTGAGAATGGTTTCGGGTTACTTTGAATAAGTTAGAATGTAACGTAGTAAAATAATGTAATATTAAAAAATTTTCCAACTAATATTGAAAACGCTGTTGATTATGTGAAGTGGTAAAATAAGTCAGTGTTGAAAAATTCTTTAATTTTACATTGAAGTTGCAGATTATGTAGAATTGTTCTGAATTGTTTTGAATATATTATACATATATTAAATATGTGATAGAGTTTAGAATATTTAAGAAGTGATTACATTTTCACAATTTTGTAGATCAAAATAATTGTAGGTTATACTTTTTACGTTACTTGAACATTGTTGCAAAGTTCTACAAAATTTCTAATAATATCAAAATTACTTTTAGCAAGACTCTTAAGGCTAAATATCTGTAAATATTTTGTATGTTAAATATCAAAATAAAGAATTTTCTTTCATGGAAGTTTTGTATTTATCGAGGAATCTTCCAGAAAATTGAAATATGACTAGACAATAAGAGAAGTAATTACAGTACGGTGAAGCTCACGGTGCAAAGGATAATCACGGTCACCGCGAATGTTGCCTGCATTAACATAATCGACCATGCGTAATACAATAAATCCTAAGAAATGTCTACGTGTCTCTCCTTACAAGTACTCATGTGCTCATTGTTGAAACGTGAATTTATTACTCTAGAATCAATATTTTATTATCAATGCATGCTTGACTATGTTTGACAAATATTCAAATAACCGTTAAAACAAGTCGTTGTATTAATTGTATGAATTATAGTTCTATGTATTATTCCTTAAA